AGTTTACCATTAATACCGTTTAATTTTTAAGTTCACATGTACCGTTTTCTATTTTGATTTTCATTTCTTAGAATTATTTGTGTTCTGTTTTATATTTTTTGAGTGGAAATATAGTTTCTTGAAAAAATGAACTTTGATTTAAATCTTGATTTTTTTTCAAAAAAAGTCAGGTGATTTAAATCACTTGAAAAATATCAAGCCAACCCTGTTCAAATCTACTAACTACTTTACTTTACTACTAACTTTTAAGGCTCTCAAATTAGTGGCATTGGCATCAGAACTGAAAGTGATCTGGATATCTTGAACTTTCTCCTCGCCCTCGGGTCTAGGGGCAGTCAACTCATCTGCCACATCGGTGGCAGCCTCCTCGAAGATCTGCAAGTGTTCCGTGGGTTGTTTGTACAATTTATCCGCCAAGGTTTCGTCGAAACTGCCCACATCTTCAATGTTAACATCGAGATAGTACTGGCAAAGGTTGTAGTTCCGTTTCAGGGTGTCTCTGAGGATTACGTTAATTAAATTAGAATAACAACCTTGCCAATCATGTTACCGGTATTTGTAGTTGAAATTCTCAGTGTGAAACTGACGAATAAAGTTTTTGAACTTGTTTTTGACTGCCAGCAAGTTGATGTTTGCGGTATTGCTCTCGCCATGCTCACTTTCTGTGGGAAAGCTTGAGCTGAAAAATACTTGCTGATTATCGAAACCTTCCATTGCTAATTTTCTTCAAAGTTCTTCAATATCAACAACTTTCTTCCGCAGAAATACAGAAACTACTTGGCGGGAGAAATATGAATGGCGGTTGTTTTGACAACTATATTAAGGTTAGTTGAAGACTGAGTGTCTACTGTCTATATTTTGAACATTTGGCATCAGTGCCTGTAAAAATCTAAAATTTATTTAGATCAATTCAATCAATAGATAATTAAATCAATTCTAATCGACAAATTTTTATTCTTGTTATTTAGTTTCATTTTCCAGTAGTCTGGTGTACACCAGATTATTAGATATATTCAAATAACCAATTTTTCCGACTTGAAACTGTTACCTCTGCGCCTGCTTGACAAACCTGAACAGGTCTGAACATGAAATCGAAGCGGGTTGAGAACCAACCAAATGTGACTCATACAAATCAGCCTGAAGAAATTATCAGTCAGTAACAAACAAAGAAGCTTTTACCAGCTTTTACGATCCTCGAGCGCTACCGAAAAAAACGCGCACTCTGGAACAAAATTGCATCGAGGTTTGCCATACTTTTTTAGTATCGTAGATTGCAATTTCTTTCCTTATTTTGATGTGTTTTTGCCGCACTTTAACAAATAGTGAAGATTGAAGATATTTGAAAGTTGCGATTGCAGCCAATGTCGAAACGTCCGTTCGCTACAGTGATAGAAGAAGTGGAACAATGTTATCCGGAAAAACCGCGACGAAAAAAGCAACGAGTGATGTTCAGTGCTGTGAAGAGAAGGTGAGAATTTGCAGCCGAATTTTGCGCTGAAGAAATAAACTAAACAATTCTTTTAATTACACCTAATCAGGTGAAGCAATTTTACTAAATGTACCTCCAATCATTTTCAGTTCAACGTTATGGGACTCTGTATAGGATTTCGAACATTCCAGTCACCATCAGTGCCTCATTTTGTAATTAATTTTACAACTACCTAATATTTGTTTGCTTAGAGCTTATTCATGCTAATGATAATGACCGATTCAGATCACAGAGGGCCCAATTTAAACTGCCAGCAGAGGTATCAGACAGTGGTGCCGCTGACACTTTTTTTTACCTAGCTCCAAGGAAAGAAAATTAATTTCGCAGATACATTGTGGCTTAAACGAGAAACTATTGAATCGATTCCAAGTTTAAGCCCGCAGACAAATTTCAACAACCCAGTTATGAGAATGATGAACCTTAATAAAAATCACCTTAAAGCGTGAAGTTGAGAAATAACTGCAATTCGGAAATAGAGTAGTTGAGAATAGGCAATGCGGCACAATTGTTTGTTTGACAGACGGCGTCGTCGTCACATTCGCCATTCCCGTTTGCTCAATTTGTCTTGTGGTGTGAATGAGGTAAACGTATTTGTGAAAATTCGTCGAAAAAAACCGTAAATTGTGGCAAATTTAGACATTTCCTGCTCGCGAATTCTCCCCGAACAATCAGCAATCGATCCAGTGGTTTACAAGAGAGTGTAGTGTGTGTACTGTGTGTAGTGAGGATTTTAAGTTAGTGTTTGTTTTGAGTGATGAATACTGGTAAACAAGGAATGACTTGCAGTGGAATCATTTCGAAAAACTTAATATTGGCACAATAAATGATCCCTGGTGGATTTGAACACGTTGAAAACGGCTGCCAACATGGTTAAAAGGTTTGTGTCTTGGATTTAATATGTTTTAACACAGATCAATGGTGGTTCTGAACCCATTGATTGCCCTGCAGAGTCGCTGGAAGGAACTCACTTGTTATAAATAACTTTGGAATGCACAGAGCGTATCAGTTTAAATTATTATCATTACTTTGCTTTGTCTGTTTCCTAGTCAGGTCGTATTTGGAACCATATAGGTATTAGGTCATTGGCCATACACATTTTATATATATTTTCACACGAAGAGCCCTATAGCTTGCTTGTGTACCTGGGAATCCACTCATCTCAGCACCAATTATCAATTGATCGCAGTTAATTACAAATCTTGCCCCATTTGCATTGCGTAGGTACAAAGTATTTTATTGGCCTACAGTTTTAGGTTTATCGAATCTACAAGTACCTGAATTAAATACGGTGCGTAGGTTATCAAGTCAATTTGAGCGTGGCTTGATTATGGCCATAACTGATCTCATAATAGCAGGGATTAAATCCATCTGCCCTGTTCCGGAGAGATACTGAGCCACACAAACAGATGTTGCTAAATTTAGAATTTGGAATTGTTTTTCCAAACTGAATTGTAATGCTTCGCTAGCACTCAACATCGCCGGGCAGCAAAATGGGAGAAAATATTTCTCTATCAAGAAGGTCATTGGTTTAGCACATTAGCATTTCTCAATGATCGCCCCCCAAAACGGGGCATTTGTACCTGATCATTTCATTAAATTACTATACTAAACGTACTCTTTCCAATAGGTGTATGGTCGACGATCAATAACAACAATCGTTGTTAACTGCGTTAAATTAAACGTTAATAACTGCATAGTAATTTGCGAGGATTTCAACTAAGAATCCCGTTACTGTATTCAACTTCAAGCTTGATTTTTTCAGAACGTGGCGGCGAGAATGAACCGCGTCCGATTCATCCGGTTAACGACCTTTTCATGGGCTTTTGCCACTTACATCCGATTTTAGAGCAGTATTGTTAAAACTAGTGCAACCGGCCTAAATGCCTGCAATGTACATGGCAAATTCACGCTAACACGCTTGTTATGCAAATTAGCTTCTTCAACAACCATATCAACGACTCAATTTTATTGCGAACTTTAAAGGATCTTTCAGTAGGTAGCACTTCACATTGAGTCTGAATTATCAACTAGAATGCGTAAAAATAATGGCAGGTGTTTCCAGGCGCTGACCCAAATCGCCTTTCTCTTCCTAACAGGCTTATTTTCTGGCATTTAAGTCGCCTCCAATGCAACGAGCAGTTAAAGACAGAAATAGAACTAGGCCATTAGATCGTATTATTGCAAGCAAACATCAACGCCACAACACTGCGGCTAAAAACGAACTGGTAAATAGGAAACTCTTAGGGCAAAATCTGGGCCAGTTTTTTCCTCATTTCTGAAGTGATTCGTTCGGGAAACGCAATGTCAAAGCTCACAAGCAAATCGCCTCTTCTCGAAGGCTCTTTGGGCTGGGGCAGGCCTTGCCCGTGGATGATTTTTACAGTCCCAGGCCTTATTACTTCCTCTGTCATGCCCAGAGTGGTGCGTCCTCCTCCAAGGAGTGGGACTGATAGGACGCATCCACAAAGCGCCTCTTTCAAGCTCACCTTTGCAGTGTATCGGATGTCACTTCCATCCCTCTTGTAAGTGGGATGAGGTTTGTCTCTGATTGTGAATACGACGTCAGCAGGCTCCTTGTTCAGACCTTGGTCGCCCTCTTTAGCGAACGTGATTTTCGTTCCCGATTTCCATCCAGGTTTGATCGCAATGTTCAATATTTTGTCCTCCTTGATCAATTTCCCGTTGCTTTTCAACACCTTTTTCGTAATTCTCATGGATTTGGAGCAACCAGTCAAAATATCCTCCAGTGCTACGTAGAGGTCAACTTCCACTGGCGGATCCTGGTCTCTGGATCGTTGTTGTGGTGGTTGTTGCTGCACCCTAACAGTTGGGTGATCGAAAAACGAACTCCCGAAGGAAAATAGCTCTTCAAAGGGACTGGCACTGCCAAAGAACTGAGCGAACGTGGCTCGCGGATCTCCATGAAACGAGTAGTAAGTGGTACCGTCATGAAACGTTCCTCCTCCGGGAACTCCTCCTTTCAGGCCCTCCTCGCCGTACTGGTCAAAGAGATCTCGCTTTTTCTTGTCGGAGAGCACTTCGTAGGCCTCGGCGACATCTTTAAACTTTTCCTCCGCACCGGGCGATTTATTTTTGTCCGGATGGTATCTTAGGGCGAGTTTTCGGTAGGCTTTTTTGATTTCATCATCGGAGGCTCCTTTCGGAATGCCGAGTATCGCGTAATAGTCTTTCGTCATGCTTGTTACACTTGACTTGAACAAGAAATTTGACATTGACAGTCTTCGTAAAGGGTTCAAACCACAGATTAACAAAACAGATGCATTTGTGTAAATGTGCCATGTTTGAGTGGCAATTTGACAGCTCGGTTATCAATTTGATGTTTGTGAGTAGCATTCACAAGAAAATATCAGTTTTAGTTTGTAATAAACGAGTACCAAATGTCATTGAATTTTTTGAGTGAAAAATTTGGCAAATTTGTCAGAATTTAAGAGGGAAATTACTTCCATACTAAAATATTCAACATGACAACGCCGCAAATGAGGGAAATATGACTGTAAGATTATCAGTCAGACTAGTTTATTTATTGGAGTTGATGACATTTATAACATAAAACAATACTTACGCACTTTTCGGTCTGTTTCTGCATCATTTCTATATATCTATATATAATAAGGCAGATGTAAACACCAATGTGACACCAAGGTCAACAAAACAAGTGTCAAATTACTACTGGACTTGTAGTTATAATTTTAGCCACCAGGGGGCGTCTGGACTTGTGGGTAGGTGGGAGTTACACTGTGTTGAGTTGCGCTATTGAGTTGTTGCCGCTCCCTCTCTCACTCGTTAACACAAATTATAACTCATCGGTTCATGAGTTATGAGTCATTTATTAAATCTTTACGAGACCCGAGACTGGAATTTTCACATCTAAAAAAAAACGTCATCGACATTTTTTCTGAGTAACGTTTTACTACTTTGTTCAAGCAAATAAAAAAAAAAGTCCGAAAGAGTCGACGAGTTTTCTTGGAAAATCGATCTGTTAATTTTTTTTGCATAAAAGATTCAATTTGTCAGTATTTTACAGTAAAACGTTAGGAAAAACGTGGTTTTTCTGTTTAGAGACAGTGTTGTTTAGAAATATGGACCTAAAAGTGTAGAACTCCCAATTTCCAAGAGTTTTTCAAATAACCGATTATAAACTTTCGCTTATTCAGTTCGTTTTTTGATAGAAAATTATTTGATTTTTGTCCCAAATTCGAAGCTGAAAAGGGATTCAAAACTTTTTACAAAGCGACGAAGGGTTCGAAATTTATTTCATAGAAAAAAAAGAGTAACTGGGCTGGAACTGAAAAATTCTGAAGACATTTTAAAAGAAAGATATTTAGAAGAAAGAAAAAAGATATAACTCTTAAAATAACTCTCAAAACAAGTAAAAAAAGTCATCAACGTTTTTCCAGCAACAGAACTGAGTACCTGCGCCGGTGCGTTGAGTTGGCGCACCAAGCCATTTGCGTAGCACTGCGCCAACTCCTAAAAATTCACTGAGTTACCCAGGCCTAGCTAGATGTATTCGACTAGACAATGAAGACAGGATGTTTTGCAAAGGAAATGTTGTCATAACATCGGCAATGTTGTTTCAACGCGAGTGTGGAGAGCGGAACAAAGGAAAAGGAAGACCACAGGGGAGAGAAAGTCGGATAAAGCAAAGGTAGCGGTTTTGTTTCAAAACGTCGTCATTGTAAAGTATTTTGCAAGCGAGATAAAGCGCAAACTGTAGCGGGTGATTCTCGGGAAATTGTGCTAAGTATGCAAATTTAAAGCGAAAAACTATTGAATTGGCTGACCCCGAAACGATCTCTATGCCAGCAATAGACTCGACAAGGCCCCTTTGGCCCAGCCTTGGACTTATGCCTGATATGTTCAAACGATTGATCGCAGTGATGCACGAAATAAAAAATAATCAAGTAAATAGAGACTTTTTATTGAACATGAGGTGTTCAGGTGAACCTGACTAGGATTATTGGAAGAGTATAATTTGCGCGCTACCATGGAACAGATGCCATTTTTAATTTTTTTTTTAACAACATTGGTATAAAACTAAAAAATTACATTCCGCAAATAGTTTATCGTCGTTCTGTCTCAAACGCACTTGTTCAAGCGGACTTCGTGTAGTGGTAGTAGGGTTAGCCAAACATGGACCCATGTGGATCCAAACTACCAAAACTTGAGTCGGAAGAGGGCGATAATACAGTACGCACTCAGGAACCAGCCGATGGAAACTCATCTAAAGATGATGTAAACTTGTCGGAAATTGCACTTCCAGGACCATCCACTTCAAGTGGCAAACTTTTGCCGGCAATGGAACTTCCACTGTAAGTAGTTGAGTAGTCAAAAACATGCAAAACGGGACGGAAAACATGAAATTTTGCAATAATCTTACGCCACCCTTGCACAAAACGACTATAATTTTTCTAATTTCATAGACAACAGAAGACTGTATTTTTTCTACATAACCCCCCCCCCCC